ATACTTAGCATGCTTACTCTAGTTACTTAATACCCAGAGGTAGATCAGAGTAACAAAGAGAAAATGCTTTTCAAATTTATAACCTGTTGTGCACCCTTCCCCACAGGAACCACTGACCTTGGGGCCACATATTTCAAAATTTTGGAAATTTTATAAATTTTATTTCATTACAAATGGTTGATTGATACCAAAGACCAGATGTCAGAGCATTAATTTATTTTCAGACTATGTACATCCCCCCCCCCCCTCAATATCCCTGACCCAGCGGGCATGAAATTAACCATTTTGTTAGACGCACCTTTCTTCATCATAAATATATATACTAAGATCATTGTCATAATATATTGGAGCCGTGGTAAAGATTTTCAAAGAATTCATGCATTTTCACTATACAGTATAATCATTAGAACCCCGCCCTAACACCAGAAGCCCTGACCCAGGGGTCATGAAATTTTGGAAGAGGCATCCTTCCTCATCATAACTATGTACATAGTTCACTGGATTGATACCCAGGAGCAGAGAAAAAGATTTTTAAAGAATCAATATCTTTTCACTATATAATCAATATAGCCCCGCCCTAACTCCACAACCCCCAAACCAGAGGCCACAAAATTCACAATTTGGGAAGAAGCCCTTTTGCTCCTCATAACTATATACTTAGTTAGTTTGTTTAATACCCAGGAGCAAAGAAGATTTTAAAAGAATTAATGTATTTTCATTTTATAATCAAAAGAGCCCCCCTTACACCAAAACCTATGACCCAGGGGCCATGAAATTCACAGATTTATGTGAGGCACTCTTGCTTATTATAACTATATACTTAGTTAGTTTATTTGATATCCAGGAGCCATGGAATAGATTTTCAAAGAATTAATGCATTTTCACTATATAATGAATAGCCCCCTCCCCCAACACAGAACCCCTGATCCAGTGCGCATGAAATTCATGATTTTGGAAGAGACACTCTTGTTCATCATAACTATGTACTTAGTTAGTTAATTTTATACCCAGGAGGAGCAGAGAAGAAGATTTTCAAAGAATTAATGTATTTTCACTATATAATCAATAGAGCCCCGCCCCTAACACCAGAACCCCTAACCCAGAGATCATGACATTCACAATTTTGGAAGACGCACTCTTGGTCATCATAACTATGTACTTGGTTAATTTGTTTAATACATCGGAGCAGAGGAGAAGATTTTCAATGAAATAATGCACTTTTACTATATGATCTATATAGCCCCACTCTAACACCAGAACCCCTGACCCAGGGGCCATGAATTTCACAATTTTGGTAGAGGACTCAATGCTGAATAAAATCATGCCAACAGTTTGACAACATGATGTCGAGGAGTAAAGAAGATGATTTTTAAAGATTGCATTAATTTTAGTAGTTTTGGCCCCACCCCTCAGGCCCCAGGGGGCAGGGATCATGGAATTCATAATTTTTGTCCCCCTTCAGCCATAAATGCTGTATACCAAAATTGGTTTAAATTGGTTCAGTGGTTACAGACAAGAAGCTAAAAATGTTCAAAAGTTTACGACCGACGTACGACGACGGACGAAAACAGATAGCAATAGGTCACCTGAGTTTACTCAGTTCTGATATGATATGTGCTTTTTCCTAGTCGATGTTCTCAGATGAGTGCTGTGGCCCCTGGGCCTCTTGTTTTTTATTAGTTCACCTGAGCCGAAGGCTTTCGTGAGCTTTTCTGATCAAAATTTGTTCGTTTTCTGTCGTGGTTGGCGTAAACTTTTCACATTTTCATCTTCTTCTCAAGAACTACTGGGCCAATTTCGACCAAACTTGGTACAGAGTATCCTTGTGTTAAAAGATTTAGGTTTTTTTTTTCTCAAATGAAAGGCAAAACCCTCTTCCAAGTGGAGATGATAGCAAATTACTGAAAAATTAATGGCCTCATTTTAAAAATCTTCTTTTCAAGAACAACTGAGTCAGGGAAGATAAAACTCATGTGGAATCATCGTCAGGTAGTGTACATTCAATTTTGATCAAATCATAGGAATATATAGGAAAAATCTATAAAGATCTTCTGAAGACCCACTCGGCCAAAAAAGATGAAACTGATGTGGAATCATCCTCAGGTGATGAAGATTCAATTTTATACAAATCAAGACCCCCGGAGGTAGGGTGGGGTCACAATGGGGGATCAAATTTTTACATGGAAATAAATTAGAAAAAAACCCCCATTTTATATCTTCTTCTCAAGAATTGCAAAGCCATTATTAGTAACATTTTTATGGAAGCATTCTCTGGTTGTGTGTTTTTATGTTTAGTCATATTGACATGTATGCATCTTTATGTAGTAAAAAATTTAAATTTGCTCAAATCAAGAATCCTTGGGGGTAGGGAGGGGCCTCAATAGGGATCAAATTTTTACAAAGTAATAAATAACGAATAAAATCTTTAAAAAAAGTATTTAAAAATCTATTTCTCAAGAACAGCAAAGTTATATGTTATGATAATATAACGACATCTTCGATTAGACTAAAATTCAAGCCCCTCCCCCCCCCCCCCCCGTTAAATTTTCAAAACTGAAATTATTTGCGTTTTTTTCCTAGCCAATGTGCTAAGGTGGCCCATGGGCCTCTTGTTGTTTTTAAATATGGTTCTTAGGGGTACAAAAAATGGGGTTCAAGACTATTTGCTAATTGAAAATAATCTTCCCGCACAATATGGTGAACTTTTAATAATAAATATTTACAATATGACAAAAGTATTTATTCTCACAGAATATGATGGCCTTTTCTCACAGCTTTTGGATTAGTGTGTGTTTTTAGATCACCTGATTCACTCAGGTAACCTATTGCTACCTGTTTTCATCTGTCGTCCGTGATGAGTTTACATTTGAACATTTTTAATTTCTCTAAAACGGCTGAACCAGTTTTGACATATAGCATTAAGGAAGCTCTAAACACTGCACACTAAGTCGTTCTATTTATAGGATAGTTTAATGCAGCAAGAGTGATATGCCGTAGAATTAAATACAAAAATTGTTATTTACAGTTATTTACACCATTTGTTATACATGAAAATATTCTTAGCATTATATTAGACCAAGAATAAGTAAATGAATTCATTTTTTCCATCAATTTTACCTATGTAAGTAAACAACAGTGATTTTGTCTATTGTCTTTGGAAACTTTTCCTGCAGAAATAAGGCAGGTACCCTATATTGAAAATTAAATAAATAGCCCAAATGTGCACATCTTTATATGATATATTTTTCTCAAAGTCTAAAAAGCACTTTTTATTAGTGTTTAGAGCTTCCTTAATGGATGAAGGAGAACAAAAATTTTGAATTTCATGGCTCTTCTGGGGCCTGAGAGATGGGACCAAAATTACGCAAATTATTGCAATTATTGCAATCTATAAAAACCTTCTTTACTCCTAGACATCAAGCAGTCAAACTATTGGCATGATTGTAAAAAACGTTTAGTTCTCTTCCAAAATTGTGAAATTCATGACCCTGGAGTTAGGGGTTCTAGTGCTAAGACGGGGTTATATTGAGTATCCGAGGGGTGATAAAAAAATTCGCGAACTAATTGAATAACTTCCAAAAAAAGAAATGATTTCGGGTTTTAGTGTTAGTTTTCTTTAAAAGTAGCTCTCTTCTATTTTAACGCGCATCTGAAACTGGTTTGTCCATACGTGGTTTTGGCGGTCACGTGACATGCATCGTTGGGCTCTGTAACAGTAGCTAAAAGACTCATATTTTTTACCATGCAAGTTATATGTTTAGAAACAGTCCATTCTTCAGAAATGACCAAATCTCGGCAATAGTGTAGGTTGTTAAGAATATCCTTTTTCAGATAAAGTAGATGATATTTAGGGGTTTAATAATAATGTTATTGTTCAGATATTCAACTATTTTTATAACTGTCAAATTGGCGATCTTTCATATCAAATTGCTCAACAAAGGACGCATCTCTTCCCCAGCTTGCTTTCACTGGAAATCAGAACATAGATCATATTAAAACATCTCCCTTCCTTTCCTTAAACAATAAATGCAATTAATGACATAACTTCTGGCAAGACTTTTGTCTTCATAAACCCTGTACAGATTACTACTACAAAAGAATTTCCAACATGAATGTTTAACTTTACTGCCGTTTATTGTTCGAGTACAACTGAGTAAGCCATTTTTTGTCGCAAATGTTTTCCGAAAGAAATATAACAAAGTAGTGCTGTCCATTTCTAAAACAAGTCCAGTATTTTTGTTTAATACATTTTATTAAACTGCATTAATTGACTCCCTGGTAAAAATGTTGATGCACACTGTTAATGTACTTTGTAAAACTTTTTCAACGTGCGTTGATTTTATCCCAATCTTGATGCACTTTGATTTTTTTTTTCGAAGTGAGTATTTTGTTTTTCAAAGTGCGTTGCAACAATGTTTCATACACAGTTTACTTAAAAGGCTTAATAGGATTTATTAGATATATTACAAGCCAAACATAAAGAAAAACATGTGAAAGTGATATGCAAATGGTGAAGAAAAGTCTTAAATGGGATAAATTATTTGAACAAATAAAAATCAAAAAGAGTAATCAACCTTTTATAGAAAAACTACGCTGAATGTTTCAGATGATTTAATCTTTTATCACTCTGATTCCAAATATGATTTGTAGTTGTGTACTTTAAACATATTTTATTGAGTATAATTCAATCAGGATTGGGCAACAGGCAATGCCTATGTAAACCCTCTCCTAGTTGTGTGTTATAAAAATGAGTGAATATTAAATGAGACAAAAATTTCAATCGTATAAAATTAAGAAAAATTAAATGAGGTAATAACAAATAGTAATACAGTAACAGACGCTTGTAGCATTGAAAGCAGAGCGAGGATATACTCTTACTATAAATGAAAGAGAAATGAAAAGACAAAATTTTATATTTATGTTTAGCAGCTAGGTCATCAAACAGGAAAAAGAAGCCATTAGCTTTTCACAGGATGGATTTATTTGTCGACTGTGAAATTCCAGCCCTAGACCAGAAAGGTAATCTTCGATATTATGCACTACACGCTGGATTGTCTTCAATGTATAGTTGTTTTCTATTTATTTTGACATTTTGAAAGTTATTGGTGTGATAAATAGAGAATACTACATACTAAAATCCATTTCATATGTCATATCAGCCCGAGGGCTATTTATCATATATTTAAAATACATAATATGCGAGTTCACATATGGTCATTGAAGAATGTTTATGCTTGTCAGTGACATTTTTCTTTAAAATCTAATGGAGCCAATTTTAGGTAACTGAGAAAAAAAATTAAGACCACAAATGTCATGCAAGAATTATTTTATATGAATATTTAAATAAAATCAACTACATTAACTTTTAAACTTTATACAAACGTTACTTCCGGTTTGATATGGATTTTCTGCCCGCCGGTCTGATACGTGATATGGATTTTCGGCCCGGTCCGTGATATGGGGTATTGTGACGTCACCCGTATCACACCGTAAAGAATCGGTGTATTTACTACTAAGTATATGATAAATCTGAATATCGCTTGCTATCCTTTAAATAAAAAGACTTCCAGTTGAATCCAATACATTTCCGAACATTTCTTACAGTATTCTTAAATGTAACGTAAGTTTTAATAAAATCATTCTTGCATAAAACCTATATGTTTCTGTATGATTCTTGCATCCATGCTTTATACACAGTTTTCTTGAAAAGCTCAAGAGAATTACAGGAAATGCGTAAGATTCATAAATATTGATTCAAGTCGAACATGAAAAAAAAAAACATTCAAAAAATAATATGCAAACGGTGACAAGAGGTCTTTAATGGAACAAATAATTTGCACAAATCAGACAGCGCTCAACCCCTTGTAAGAAAACTACGTTGAAAATTTCAGATGATTTAATCTTTAAGCATAATGATTCCAATAATATTTGTAGTTGGGTGTTACAAATATGAGTGTTAAACTCAAACATTATCAAACTGTGACGTGATGAATTAAAAAGGAAATGAGAGGTGATAAGAATTGAAATAATACACTTAGTCCCCTTAAACTACAAAACTGAAAGCAAGGCGAATATATACCTTCACTATTAATGAAACAGAATTAAGTGAGGATTACAAAATTTTATGTAAAGATATTGCAGTTAAGATAATATATATATTAGGTTAACTGCTTCATGTTGCATTATTCTACGAAGGGTTTCTGAAAAAAAAAATCGTGGACAATTCATGCAGAAAGACAAAAAAAAAATAAGACTGCATCCTTAAAAGAACAAGTCTCAGTAAGGCATTATCTGTGGTTCCCAGTTACTCATCAATTTTTAAACCTTCATTAAAACCTTAAAAATTACATTATATTATTCTCTTATGTCTGTGATATATGCAATAGGTTTTAAAAATATCAAATAATTGCAAAAGACGACACGCGAAGGTGAGTTTTAAAGCTGGGGTCCTTTAATTTTCATGAATATCAAAAGAAATTTGTGACAGGTACCCACTTCACAGCTTTCGTAGACATCGAGCGCAGGTTTGTTCAAAGTCGAGATCGAAATATAATGTGTACATTGTATATAATATTTATAAAGGTTGTGTGAAAGTATCTTTGTTGAACAACCTTGTGCTCTATGTTTTCTACTTAAAAGTATCATGATTTTGAATCTGTTCGGTGAGTACATTTACATTAAGGAACACCCCTTGTTGACCTACTAAGAATAGATAATATGTCACGTGAATCCATACCGTCACAGGTGAATACCTCTGGAAAGTGTGTTTACTTTATGAAGCAACACATGTAGCTTGTATTTGAACCACTTTAATTTTTTGAAATTCAAAACAAAGTTCTCACAAGACTTCAAAGAATATCAAATATGTTACACCGTGGGCTTTGATGGTTTTCCGGAACATGTTTTCATTCTAACGCGTTTAATCGCAATTTTCCTGGGCATTGCCATTGCGAAGAGCACACAAATCAATATATTAGTGTAGATGAAGAATACGGAGACAACGAACAGTATTCAATCTCAAAGTTCATAAAACAATACAAAATAGGAGCAGAGCAAACACGGACCTTCGAAACATCAGAGGTGGGATCAGGTGCCATGTAAATAAATACACATTTAAACAATTTCTTGCTAAAAACAAAACAAAACAAAACAAACAAACAAAAAACACGCAAACGATTCCAAAGAAAACATTTTCTTCACATTTAATCTAAACAAATACATGTACTCTATACTAACCACTTGAATATCCAAAGAAACTTTACACTCTATCCACGTTTTGGGCTCATATAAACTCGGAAAAATTATTCTAATGTGTTAACAGAATGCAACAGAGAAGATGATTTTTGAGTTTGGATTTCATCTCCCAATCTAGTGAATTTATTATAAGACAGAAATAATCCGTGTGAAATGTAAATAATAATATTAACTTTCTTTATTCCAACAATTGCATGTATTTGAAGTGTAATAGTTATGTATGCTCAATTATTCGATAAATAAATCAGAATATTTATTACAGCATTTAGCGCGAAATTCAGAAATACATACATTTCAGGAAGGTGGTATTGGGGGAGGGGCGACACCTTGTTTTCGGAGAAAAATCTAAGCCACCTCCCCCTTAAAATTTTTTTACGCCTTTACGCTGTGACGAAATGAATAAATATTATACATTAATGTTAATGTTATTTTTTTCCAATCAAAATGAGTAAAAGTTTGACTCCCACACCTACATAAACGATTTTTTTCGCGTTTGGAAACTGGGTTCCTTTTTTTCTTTCGCTTTATCAAACTTTTGTGTATATATCTATTCTTGTCTATTTTTTCTCACCCCCCCCCTTTACAAACGAAGGGAGTGTATTACTGTGTGCATTTGCCGTAACTTAATGTTCGCTCGTCTGTATTTTTTGAATGATAATATAAAAAAAATAATACAGTGGTTAAAATACTTTGACATTTGATTCAACGATGATAGATAAAAAAAATAAATAAAACGAGATTAGGGGATTTTTCAAAACTCCAACTAAAAAACCTCAAGAACGAAAAGAAGACCCCCACCAACTCCAAATTAAGAAGAATACGAATGATAAACAAACAAACAAACAAAAAAAACAATCATTAATATTATATCTTATCTCACGCTACAGCTCAAAATATCTTTCGTTATATAGTACCTTATTTAAATGTCCCCGCCCATTTTCATGTAATAAAGAAACCGTACTCTGTTCGGAAGAAAATGTTCCGGAATTTGTATGTGCGGTAGGTGTTGGAAATTGGGTTGTATTTCTAGTTAGATATTCAAAGTTATTAATATGATTGCACAATATTTTAATTAGAAATACTATGTTATACATCATGATATGAAAAGTAATTCCGTATCCTCAAGTATATTCTGTAAAATAAGGGCGAAAAAAGGGACCAAGCTTCTATACTTAAGTAGAATACTCCTTTCTTAAAGTGGCACAGTGACGCACAAGGTGGAAAATTGACAAATGTAGAATTTTCGCATGACCTCTGTAAATTTTGTTCAATTCCTTAAAGTATTAGGTTTCAGAAAATTACAGGTTTTAGAACCTAAAAATTAAAATTTTATGGGGAAAAATAAAAGTAAAAATAATTTCTGTCTGCCCCAGAACAAAAATATTGCAAAATACCCTGGTACTTCTTCCTTCCTATCATACGCGTGCGCAGAAAAGTGTTTAATAAATTTCCATAGTTACCATGGTCTCAGGTATCCACAAATGAATATAAGTAAACCAAAAAATTTGATGCAATCTTTTTAAAAAGTTGTTAGAACATATTTCTCACCTTTGCATGTTCCAGTTGAATTTTGTTTACAAGTTTGAGCTAAAAATAAGAGTAGCGTGACCTTGACAAATACGAAACAACGAAATGGTTAATACAACCTTTGTTTTTCCGGCGCTTATATTGTGCAGTCAATTCTTGCAATTGAATTGTCATCTCTTCGCTATATACTCACAATTTTCGTAAGTCTTTCTCTGTATGCTACAGAATCTTAAAATTAAGATATGATTTTGACTCACTCTGCCGCTTTCAAGGTACTTGGACACAGATTAGAAGTTATTATTTTCTCTATAATATTACGACTTATATATTTTAATAGCATTTCACACAAAAATTAATTAAAAATCTTATTTCATATAAAAGATATTAAAATTTCAAATTTTTTTGGTGGGTTTGATTGACACATTCTTGCACTTTCACAAAGTAATTTTATTCTTAATCCTTAGGAAAAGTGGCAATCTCGTTTTGTATAAATTAAAAATATTAATACTATAATCCAGAAAATTCAGAGTAGACATGTTCGAAAGCAAAACAAACACACAATATATTGTCAGTCCGTGCAGTTGTGGTAACCAGACTGTGACGATTGAACGCACCCGGTGAATTGTAAACATCAACAATAACAGAACTCGTGCCCTATGTACAAAAACTGTGTAATAACACGAGTGTGCTCGATTTGCTAAACTCTGTACGCAACTCTTAGTTCGGAATGACGATGCTTGTGAAGGAGTTTTGCTTTCTAACATTTCTACTCTGAAAAAAAATATTTTTCTGGATTAAAGTTTTTAAAATATTTCTCATCAATACACAACAAGATTGCCACTTTTCCAAAGGATTATGAGTATAGTTAAAATTTGTGTTTTAATAACTTTTAAATGAAATAAGATTTTTAATTTTTGTGTGAAATGATATTAAAATATATATGTCGTAATATTATAGAAAAAATATTGACTTCAAATCTGTGTCCAAGTACCTTTAAATGATTCTTTTTCACATTTTTCAGAAGTATACATGTACATTTTGAAATGTAAAATTTCGAATTGATATTCCGTTAAATAAACTAAATATTCCATTTTATGTTATGATAATAGATTTTTTATGTTATGATGACGTTAAAAGTAACGTTATCCAAGTTGGAAAAACTAACTTCACTGATGCACACATTTGAGTTCCCCTTAACGAGGTCGAATCCTGATGATTAAAGTCTTAAACTTTTTTTTAAGTATATCTTTGTTTCTACATGCATAGCTTGATTAAAAATCAAATAAAAAAATGGGGGCTAATATGCTTCTTTTGGCACTGCAGTGCATTTAATATGTCATTGACCTTTTTGCACTGAAATTTGTGTCTTAATCAAAAATTAGTTCTTCTACGTTTTCCCTCTAATATTCTTATCCAAATAAAGAATGGAACAAAATAAACTATAAGTATATTTTTTATTAAAAGACACTTTTAAATTGTGACTAGGAAAAAAGTTTCAAATTGCTTTGCATAATCAATTATTTGACCTTTCTACACTCACTTAAGACTGTGTGCAGCGATTATAGTCTTTTGGTACTATCTTTAGTTGTTCATCCGTACCTTTTTTCTACCAGGCGGAAGACTCAATGAGAAATCCCGCTTTAAAATATTCCAATTGACGACATAATAGAAAATCGCCATCACTTAATCAACATGAAACATATGCACTTTTCTATTTAATCTTATTTATCCTTTTTTATTACATTTTTACCAGTGAAATACAGTCTGTAGTTTTTTCATTGAATAAAAATATGCTGTCACAGTGTGAAAGGATATCAAAATGATATCCTGTCACGGTGTGACAAATATCAAAAGTGCGGTAAAGCTCGCGATTTTCCTACCTATAACAGAGAGTGTTGTAAAAAAATCTTCTTTGACCTGATATAAGATGGAAATAGATAAATAAACCATTCTGACAGAGAATAAAACTGTAAAAATTACCCAAAATATGTTAATAAATCCATGTTTACAATGTTTTCACCTCACTTAGCTATGACATCTCAACCTCTCAACTATGACGTCATGTAGCTTATGACTGTATTACAAAAAGACAGAGGCGAAGAAAAAATCAAAGGATTTTTTTTTTAAAATGTAATAAACAGTAAATTCAATGTTTTTGTAGTTGAATATGGAATTTATTTAACTCGTGAGACAGGATTTTTGATAATTTCACTCGTGCTTCGCACTCGTGAAAGTATCAAAAAATCCTGTCCCACTCGTTAAATAAATTCCATATTCAACTACAAAACATTGAATATCCTCTATATATCGGTTAATTCTGGCGTATTCTTAAAAGAAAGCCGTTGGACCATATATACCCTGTGTGCATCCAAGTTAAATTAAACATATAATTTTATTATTTGTGTTGTTTTTAAAGAAAATAAAAATATAAATTGCTAAAATAAATCCAGCCTTTTCGTGTTTTCTCTTTAATAAAAACGCATTGTCCACACTTTTTCATGACAATCCTTGTATTTCTTTGAATTATGAAATCTTTCAACTTTTCTTTTTATAGAAACATGTGAAGACAGTTTATGTGTCAAGTCTGACATACACGAGGAATTTTATTTTGAGGGATCTGGCATACCTGACATACAAGCGGAATGTTATTTTGGGGAATCTGAAATACCTAAACCTCCTGAGCCGTACGAGTTCAAAAAAGAAAAAAGTAAGATTTAATTTCAATTGAATGTATTTTAAAAAGATCAATTTAATTGGTTGTTGAAACTAAAGTTGTAATTTAATTCAAAATGAGATAATCTTGAAGAATATTTATTTGTCTTTCATTGCGTAACAAGAACTTTTGCTTTAAGTTTGTTGCCCCAAGCTATCACTGAGAGTGGTTGGTGTTAATCTTGGTCTCTGTGTCCGTCCGTCCGTCTATCGTCTAAATGTATTTCTTTCTATCTAAATCACTTTCATTTCAATGCGATATCTCGAGAAACCATTTGAGCCTTTGGAATGAGTTTACGTAGCAACTCCCTACAGCATAAATAAGACCCCTTTTGATTTTGAGGTGTTCGAAAGTCAAATGTCAAGATAATAAATTCGTTAATTCTGTTTTAACACTTTCGTTTCGGTGCGATATCTCGAAAGACCTTTTATCGTTTGCAGTAAAATTTTATACCACAAATACCTTTGGAATTAGGAAGATTCCTATCTATTTGAAAAGGTCAAAAGTTCAAAGATGAACGTCGTAAATTAATGTATTCTCTTTGTGTGTGTGTAGAACCTTTATTTCCGGACGATATATCAAGAAGCTTAATTGATACCAGGACTCCCCATGGTCCGGTCCGACCTTCTTAAAAAGTCCCCATCCCCCTTTGCCCATCCGGTCCCCTTATGACACCCTCTAGATCTGTGCATGATCTTCTTTTTTTCTTACGCGAGGGACACAGATTCTCTAAATAAGCTTGTTTAACTAAAACTTATTTTCAACTCTTCGATTCAACTAAAACTGAGGTTGTCAGGTCATGGAAGATAAAAATAATTTTTTCTAAAGGTTGGGGGTCAAGTATCTATTTCTTTTACAAAGGGATTAAAATAACACCAAACCAATACACTGGAGTTGGACGCATCATATAGACAAGCTGATTACCTTTATATCTTATAATTATCTCATCAATTTTATCCGAAATCGGTTGAGAAATAGGTCCACTGTCATTTTTAAAGCAATTATTATACCTCTACTTTTAAAACTCTAAATGAAAAATATGGGCAATATGAAAACCATTTATCCTTCTGTATTCAAAACTCTAGAAGTGAAAAAAGAATTACATGATTACATGGTCAGTATACGTATTGACGAAGCAGGTAACATCAGTGTCTTCATTTGTAAGGCCCATTATATAAATTTTATTTTAGAAGAACTTGGATTTAATTCTACAAGTGGTAATCCAACATATACTCATAGTTCCCATTCTAAGGGAAGAAATTTTTCAAAATTATATGTTAGTTTTGAAAAGTTTTCATTTCTCAAAGACCAAAATGAATTTGAACTACAATAAACGTATATATTGGATTCCGAAACTTCATAAGAATCCTTACAAACAAAGATACAGAGTGGGTTCTAGTAAATGTTCAAACACGCCTTTTTCATTAATCCACACTAAGATATTAACAGTAGTGAAGGAGAAACTTCAAGAGTACTGACAATAATATATTCAAGAAGTGGTGTAAATCAGGTATGATTACTTAAAAATTCCAAGGAACTTTTGGACAACTTAAAATCACATGATGTTACCAAAATCAACAGTTTTTTTTTTAAAAAACATATAACTTTTCAACTTAATACACAACCATTCCCAACGATAAATTAAAGTCCAGGCTTTTTGATATCATTGACAGCCTTTTTTTCATAAAAATGGAATTCATAAATTTACCAACCTTGTCATTGGTCATTTGCAACATTACTTTGTTATAAACATTTTGATTGTACACATAAGTACTCTGAAGTTGACATCAAAGAGGTGCTCGAGTTTCTGATTGAAAATATCTATGTTGTTTTTGGAGACCAGGTCTTCCAACAATCTACTGGAATTCCCATGGGTACCAATTTTGCCCCGTTATTAGCAAACCTATTTTTGTATTTACATATGAAGCAGAATTTTTGCAAAATCTTATGCGTGAAAAGAAGAAAACACTTGCCGTGGCCTACAACTCGACATTAAGATATATCGACGACGTATTATCAATTAACAATATTTACATTCGCTTTGTTTTCTACTAAGCCAACTGTGAAATTGATTTGAATACCTTTTCGTGTATACTCACGCATAGAAATATACACAGAGAAACGTACTAACATGACGTCACAATGAGGATGCAGCGACGTTAGTAAAAGAATAACGATATAGGGTAGCGAGAAATTCAAATATTTAGTATGTTTTTGGTGCTTCCAAACATGTAAAATGTAAATATAAGGAATGTTTTAAAGTTAATTGTGAATTATTGGTGTGTGAATCGCACAGACTTGCACGTAGGCATATTTTTCATGAAGCGCTAGCTTGAGATGAAAGATACCGCAGAGTCTGACATATCTGTTTCATATTTGGATATTTTACTTGAAAAGGGCGTTAATAGTAATCTAACAGCCAAGCTCTATGATAAACGTGACACTTTAACTTTTCTATCGTCAACTGCCCTGAAAATCAGAGCTACTCCCTGTGACTACTCCCTCATGAATATTTATTGATATTTTTAACCAATTAAAATGAATACTGGAACAGTAATGTATACACCAGGTCACATGATCCTCACATCAACCTGTGTAACATCGCGCACCAATGTGTACACCAGGTCACGTGATCGACGCGACCTGTAAATATAGAATTGTGGAACAGTGAACACTCCGTTCAAGGTATCTCGAGTCAGTGACGTGCATGATGTTATTTGCATTGTAAAAATGACGTCAATTCTATTCGACATGTGATGTCAAAATCATACTTGAATTCTGGCAAAATGAAGACAACGAAAATTCTTCGAAATGTCAGTAAAATTATTTTTAAAAAATAATTCCATTGTCCTCGGTATTGATGCATTAGTTATCTTACAATCTTTTGAAGCATTGGAATTTTTGATTATTTTGATATTATCTATTATACTTGTATTTCTTTAATGTGTGGATATTCGGTTAAATAATCGCCTATATGATTGTTTCGGTATGAATAAAAAACCAGTTATGTGTTGGGTACTCGAGATATATGAATTTAAGGTCCCCCAAGAGAGGGAAATAGTTTCCTGTCGAGGGGAACCATGAATTTGACATTTCCCGAGTAACCATTCCATAACTGTATAGTGCTCTAAAGAATATATAAGATTTAAAAAAAAGAAGTGAACATCTAATACTCTGTAGCCAACAGTTTAAAAAAAATATTTTCAAAAGACAATGATTTTCTTTAAAGGAGATCATCCCATGAAGATGATAAAATTGATTGAGGATCAGAAATTTGACGGATCTTGGGAGTTAACAGAGGAAATCTCAAAAATACTCGGCAAATCACAAAATGAAATAAAAACATCTGCAACTACACAGGTAAATGGTATAATGTAAAGTAACTTTAATTTGTTATATGCGATACATTGGAAGCATTGTCTAAAGTGAAAGAGTTGCATACAGTTACACCTGTTTGATATAAACTACTTTCAACGCAAGACAAAGTCAAACCTAGTGGAAAACAAGAAAACATTGATGTAACCATCAATTGTCGCCCGGGAAATATATAAAGTAAACAATGAAAGAGTCTTGTTCATCAAACCGCTTCGATATGTGTGAAAAGATATGCGTCTAATTGATGGAGACGATAGTCGCGAATATTTGGAAAACTTATAGTCGGATAAATGTCAAACAAAAACGATATCATTTTAAACTTCAATTCCTCGAGTAAATGTTGGCTGCATGAAATATAAATTGAAGTTAGACACATACATCACCTATATTCGAAAATGTATTTAATTTTCAATTTTAGAATATAAAACTGTGCAGAGTACGTTTTTATGCGAGAAGTAAAATTCGATGTTCTAAAAAAAGGGACCTGTCGTTTTTTCGATAGTAAATGATAAACAACTTCATATGTTAATTATGAAAAACATATATATTTTTACAGATTCGCTTTATGGAAGTAAATATATTATGTATCTCGTAATTTATAAAGAGAAAGAACATTCTGATTAACCATCTTTTCAATGATTCTCATGGTTCCTTTTTGGTTCCTGGTGGAACATAGGGCCTCGGCAACAGTTCTCCACCGCACTCTATTCTGGGCAGCTGATTTCAATGATTAGAAAACCTTTAATTTTGAATAACTACTCCCACACCAATCCCCATATACCAACACTTAAACTTATATGTATAGAGCAGCCCGGTCATCCGGGCTGCAATTATATTCTATCCCTGATGATGTTACAAACCCTTAATAATTTTGAAGAAAAGAGAGTACAAGTATGTATCTGGTTACTCAAGTTAAGATTTTGCATCGTAAAATACATTCTCACACACATCACAAAGATTCAATTGACAACTATACAATTTTTTTACCTACAGGATGTCAATGTTTGGACGACAGCTCTTGCGATTGCATTTTTGAGAAAGTATTTCATGAAGCAAAAACATGAATGGGAGATGATCGAGGAGAAAGCGTTGAACTGGTTGAAGACAAGAGATGTTGAAGGCAAAGATGTCGTACAGGAAGCAATGAATTTTTTATCAACATAATTTTTTTGTTACTTCTGTGCTATTTCAGCCTGATAATAACATTCCTTTTGTGGAAATTTCACTACACATATCTTGTATGTTACATATCGCTGCAATGCATGCAATACAATACCTCTCATGTAATTTTAAAAATATATAATATCAACTTACTGACAGCGTAAGGATTAAAAGTTCCAGGTGATTACTGTAAGAATAGCTTTCGTACATTTATAATTTGGATTATCATTTCCTCAAATTTCGGTTTATGAAGTCCAAAATAGTAAAATTGCGAGGTTGAGCTTTTGTCATCCATGCTTGAGTGTTTGTAGAAATAGTTGGATTTTGAGGAACTATTTTTAGCTCACCTGAGCTGAAAGCTCAAGTGAGCTTTTCTGATCACATTTTGTCCGGCGTCCGTCTGTCTGTCCGTCTGTCTGTCTGTCTGTCCGTCTGTCCGTCTGTCTGTAAACTTTTCACATTTTCGACTTCTTCTCAAGAACCGCTGGGCCAATTTCAACCAAACTTGCCACAAAGTATCCTTGGGTAAAGGGAATTCAAGTTTGTTCAAAGGAAGGGCCACGCCCTAATTCAAGGGGAGATAATTGGGAATTAATGAAAATTTGGTGGCATATTTTAAAAATCTTCTTCTCAAGAACCACTGTGTCAGGAAAGATGAAACTTATGGGGAAACATCCTCAGGTAGTGTAGATTCAAATTTGTTCAAATCATTACCCCCGGGGGTAGGGCGGGGCCAAAATGGCCGACCTAAGTTTTACATGGAAATATATAAGAAAATTCTCTAAAAATCTTCTTCTCAAGAATGACAAAGCCATAATTCATCATATTTATATGGAAGCATGCTCAGGTAGTGTAGATTCAAGTTTGTTCAAATCGTGACCCCCAGGGGTAGGGCGGGGCCAAAATGGCCGACCAAAGTTTTACATAGAAATATAGGAAAATTCTTTAAAAATCTTCCTCCCAAGAATGACAAAGACATTATTCATCATATTTATATGGAAGCATGCTCAGGTAGTGTAGATTCAAGTTTGTTCAAATCATTACCCCCCTGGGGGTAGGGCGGGGCCAAAATGGCCGACCTAAGTTTTACATAGAAATATATATGAAAATTCTTTAAAAATCTTCTTCTCAAGAATGACAAAGCCATAATTCATCATATTTATATGGAAGCATGCTCAGGTAGTGTAGATTCAAGTTTGTTCAAATCATTACCCCGGGGAGTAGGGCGGGGCCAAAATGGCCGACCAAAGTTTTACATAGAAATATATAGGAAAATTCTTTAAAAATCTTCTTCTCAAGAATGACAAAGCCATAATTCATCATATTTATATGGAAGCATGCTCAGGTAGTGTAGATTCAAGTTTGTTCAAATCATGACCCCGCGGGGGTAGGGTGGGGCCAAAATGGCCGACCAAAGTTTTACATAGAAATATATAGGAAAATTCTTTAAAAATCTTCTTCTCAAGAATGACAAAGCCATAATTCATCATATTTATATGGAAGCATGCTCAGGTAGTGTAGATTCAAGTTTGTTCAAATCATGACCCCGCGGGGGTAGGGTGGGGCCAAAATGGCCGGCCAAAGTTTTACATAGAAATATATAGGAAAATTCTTTAAAAATCTTCTTCTCAAGAATGACAAAGCCATAATTCATCATATTTATATTGAAGCATGCTCAAGTAGTGTAGATTCAAATTTATTCCAATCATGACCCCCAGGGGTAGGGCGGGGCCAAAATGGCCAACCAAAGTTTTTAAAGATATATATAGGAAACTTCTTTAAAAATCATTTTTTTTTAAAAATAGCAAATCCATGATTGATCATGGGACTACTTTTGGATTTAAACTTTACAATAAAAAGCCATTTTCTACTTTTTCCTACCCTTAGTGCTCAGGTGAGCGATGTGGCCCATGGGCCTCTTTTTTATTCTAGTTATTATGCAACTAGCCTATACACTGATGTTGTTTTCTGTCTATTAGCCTTAACTATATTCAATACAAAAGTACTTTATATAGTAGTTTTAATAGTCAGGTATTTTTGAAAATGGTAGATAAATTAGACGGAAATAAATCTTTTCATTGTTCCATAAATGTTTTTTTCAAAGACCGAAATAACTTAAGCCTAATGAGAGAAGATTTGCTACCACTGCTCAAGAACCTTTGTTTTCTTTTGCACAGGAAACTTAATAATATTCAACATTACAATGTACCATTATAATGATTTTTTCTTTGCATTAAAACAAGTTTTAATGTCCATATTTCCATTTATCGGTATATTGAATCATTAAATTGAATTACAAACGGATGGAAAATGTGGGCGGAAATCTAGAATTAATGTGCGTAGTTTTTACAATAATAACAAAATTTGGAGGATTTGGGAATTTTTAAACTGAAATCAGGCTTAAAACATCGCTAGATTTTCAAATATTAACGAAGATGGATTTAAATGACTCGTATGTTTTAAGTTATGCAATATTCAATATACGCAATTGATTATTAGTAATAAAGTACATTTATTTTTTAATTTGTAATCTCATTTGAAATTGGTAATAAAATAACAATTTTCTCATTCTTTAAACACGCCCCCCCCCCCCCCCCAAAAAGGATTAATTTTGTTGTATCGCAGGGAAAGATATTTTGAAATTAAATTTACATTTTACATTAATTTCCTCAAATTAAAGATTATATCTCTTTGTGTTATGTTTCACATGCCCAGATCCAGATCTAGAAAGGCGTTGGGGCGGATCACCCATTTAACATTTGTACAGTCATATTATATATAAACTAAGCAATCTAAAACTGAGTTTACGTAAGAAATTTCAGGGTGGTTTTTTTCTGGGATGGACACATAAATATCTATGTAAATATGATTTTTTTTTCAAATATGTGTGGCAGTTGGCAGTAGGCATTAAGCAGGTGGCTGTAAGCAGTGAGCAGTTGGCAGTAAGCAGTTAGCTGTCGCCTATGGACTTCCATTAACATGTATATAAAGTGTAGAGCTAACTATATTTTATATTAAAAGTGCGCTCCGTACGCTTAAATTACATGATAGAAAAAGTGCCAACAAGATTTTATTATAGAAAACCTACTTGATGGTGAAAATTTTTTTTACAGCAAAAGTTAAATTTTAGGAATATGATTTAATTTTAACATTAGGTCTTATTTTGGCAAACGTGCTCAGCACTAACAGTTGACTTTTAAAATTTGAAATTTGACCACAGAGTATTCCGCCTACAAAGAATGCTTACCTCTCCTAGCTAAGAACCTGAGTTTTCAGGGGTTCGTGTTCTATGTCATGTTTAAAGATAAGTATTGTTTGTAAACTTCTCTAGATTTAAGAGGCTATTATTAATTAACCACCAGATTCAACTTAATTTTTTAGGCATAATAATATCTTAAGCTGTCAACTATCATCTGGCAAAGAAAAAATTCATACATTTTAGTTTTAAAATTTGATCAGTTTTGTATATCTTTCTGGATATGGAGCTCTTCTTTTAAAGGAGGTCACTGAAAATGGCCACAACCCCCAGTCCCTTTAAGGAGGCTGGGGGTCAACAAATTAACCATCAGATATAACTTATTTTAAATCGTATAAAAATGGCCACAACCCCCAGCCCCTGTAATCACTGTTTATTATCTCTACCTGTCATTGCTAGATCCCAATATTTATCTTAAGAATGATTTTTATGAAATAGGTTAATAACGTTATGGTAATTATAAATCAATTTGGTTGTTTTGAATATTGAGAAATTTTTGTTCTGACATGTATATTTGAAAAGTGTTTTCTTTAGTGGGGTATATACAGTGTATGTTGGAGTAATATTTTTAAAGAAATACACAAGCTAACTCTCGATTCCCGCCAACATTTTTCAACCAATTAATTCAATATAAATGGCGATTTGGCCATAAAATCTTTGTTTAATACAAGGAACAATTCAATGGTAATTGATGAATTGTCTTAATACAATATAAATAGTAAATTATCCATAATTCCAGCTCTTGAAAAAAGTGGGTTAGACGAAATTTTCCATTGAAATTGAATTGGACTTTCAAGCATCACCATATTTGAAATAGTCTTGGATATGATTAAGTGGTCCTTATATGTTTTCTTATGTTTTAGACAAATAAATAAAACATAAATATATTAATAAAATATAATATGTCAGTTGTAAATCGCTTTGAAATTGGTGGAAAATAAGCATTTTTTGTCGTTTTTATGTCAATAAACATATGTACCCCCGTGACACACAAAAAGCCTTGTATGAATTTGTGAAATAACAGTCAATATTACCTGTAAAAAGGAATTTTTGTGTCAAAGGGGGGTGATGTTTAAAAAATATTTTCCGTTTTCTGTTGATTTCTATAGTGAAAAACACAAGTTTTACCAAAATTTTAGAGTTACACGTATCTCTCTTTGTTTTCCCAAATAAGTAATGTTTTATGAAAATCCATATAATTATCTATAAAAAATATTCAAAAGTCATCGAATATGTTAACTTTTGAAAATTGATTCGGAGGTAGGCGGGAGAACAATACTATCGTTCGCAGTTCTTTAATTCTTTTAATTACTATTTATCAATGCTGATCATAAAATGATTATATTTTAAATTTTTAAAAAAACTTTTTATCCTTCTGACTACTTGTCGAGGTGTTCTCATTCATAGACAATTTTAACTTTATATTTTAATACAGGTAACTTTGATTTCTCAAACATTTTAGCTTATTTTAAACATCCAGATAACAAAATCTTATGTGATTTTGTCTTATTATTCTTTATTGACATTAGTTTGACGGTACCTCCCCTCCCCCCAATGAAAATAAAAAATATAATTATCTTCCTTCACATCTATCAGCCTCGATTTTCCTTTACATAGAAATCATCATGATCAGTGTATTTATTTTTCTCCTACGGAAATCTCTTTTCTCTACTCTTCTTTGCATCTGCTATGTTAGTACAGGAAAAATATTCTGGTCATCGATATTTAGACTTCCTTTGCGGGAAATCTGCTTAATTTTCCTGTAGTAAAATTCGAACAAAAAAGCTAGTATTGCTTTATTCCTTCATTTTGATGCATGTACATGTTCACGGCCAGGAACACGTTAAGTTCCAAGACAGTATCTTTGTCAGAAACCTTTTATGTAATTATAGCACTGAAAAGGGCTTGTTGTCATGAATTTACAGGTGAGGTTATGACAAAATCCGTCCTGTGTCATTACTTGAGAAGACAGGCCGTGAGCATTTTTTCATTTTTTAAGTTAAATCATTTCAATCAATGTCTGAAATTGCAATGGGGAACAGGACTGACACCCATTTTGGTGTTGTATGAATTTAAGTCATTAAAATGAAGTAATAAAAGAGGAGTTTGCGTTGGCGATATTAAACCCTGGTGAAATCAAACGTGGATTACATTCATTTTCCTATTAAGATGGTATATTTTTTGTAAATAGAATATTCTATATATACCAATTGGTGAAGTCAGTATCAAGACATGTTATAAGCCTTTACAGACAAAAATAGAAAAAATTAAAACTTGTCATGACAAGATACGAAAATTCAGTCCGTTGTCATCGGTCCGTTGTCGCTACAGTACTGTACACGTGTATACACTATGAAGGAGGTCGATTTTAGTTTTTATAATGTTTTGAAAAAATTTCAAGCATGCCTCAATAATTGGGTGAACTAATTAGTCATAATGAACTAAACGTATGCTATTTTCTATATTTTATATATTCAGCTTTTGTTGGTCATACATAGGGCTTCAGCCTTTTTCCTTAAAAAAAACTAAATTCAAAGTGAAGGAAGAAATACGCACGCTAATTCTCGATTCCCGCCTACATTTTGCACCCATTTAATTCAGTATCAATGACAATTTGGCCATAAAATCGTTGTTTAATACAATCAGATCAGATCAAATTATCCCTATTTCCAGCTCTTGAAAAGGGGGTAGACGATATTTTCCATTGAAAGATCACCATATTTTGAAATAGTATTGGATATGATTAAATGTTCCTTGTATCTTTTCTTATTTTTAGGCATTAATTTATGAACATAAATATATTAATGAAATATAATGTTTCAGTTGTAAATCGTTTCGAAATTGGGGGGAAAAAGCATGCCTCCTAAGAGAAATATCAGCCTGATAGTGCAGTAAAAAATACCAAACACAGATATGCAGCTTTGTCGATTATGTCATTTACTTGAATGGCATAAAGTAAAATGTATAACAAATCATCAAGGGGGATCACCCGATATTAAACAAAACAGGATGAAACATGTACAAATGTGCATGAAAGGTACAAGTGTGATCCCCTGAGATTGACTAGAAATTTACATGCGGTGAAAATATCATATTACATGTAGATATGCATAAAATATAATATATATGAATTAATCCTTGGAGGCGTCCAAATATATAATTGCGCCAATCCCAGAAATGTTTGACAAGTTACATGTACTAGCATAAGAAAAATACAAATTTTGACTAGAATGCAAAATAATACAAAAACGAACCCATAAAAATGGTGGATGGAGGGTTCTTTCCATCGCACTATCAGGATAACAGAAACGGCGCAACATAAACAAAGATTTTTTTCTTATTAAAAAAATCAGTAACCATGATAACTATTTAATAGATTTCTCATAGCGACATAAATTAAATTATCTGTGAAAATATTGTTTTTCGTCTTTTGTTGTCTATAAACATATCTGTGATAATATTGTTTTTTTGTTGTTTTTTGTCTATAAAGTATAAAGTATAAACATACCCCCCACAACCCCCACTTTCCGTGAAACACAAAAATTTTTGGCTTGAATTTTTGAAACAACAGTCCATATTACCTGTAAAAGGGAATTTTTGTTTCACGGGGGGGGGGGGGGGGGGGGGGGGTGTTCTAAAAGTTTTCCCGTTTTCTGTTGATTTCTATTGTGAAAAAAAAAAACAAGTTTTACCAAAATCTTATAGTTATCTCTGTTTTCCCAAATAAGTAATGTTTTATGAAAATTCATATCATTTTGTAAATTTTTTTTTTTAATTCTTCGAATATGCTAACTTTTAAAAATTGACTTGGCGTTAGGCGGGAGAACAATGTTCGTTCGCAGTTCTTTGAAGAAATATTTGAGGAAATATTTAAAGGAATTTATGCAAACGTTAAGAGCTATATCTCAGATTATAATATCCCAGTCATTTGTTCATATTTCTGTTGATTTTGAATTTTTTTTGCCTATGAAAAAAATTCTTTTAGGAGTGAGCATCCTCTGCCTACCGTTTACACCCACCGTGTGTTCCTTGTCTTGATCGGGAAATATACCGGGAAAAATACGTCGACAATTCAGTGTGTATGAAGTGGTCTAACAATTAATATGAAAAACGTCATTCAGCATTCAACTCTATGATAAATTGTATTTTCTGAGAAGATCATTGCTTCGACCAAAGAACTTTTGAAATTATGACTTTTATAAAACAAGACTTGTTATATTCTTGTTTCAGCAACTTGTTTGTCAATTCTTTGATACGTATTAAAAACTTCTGTATTTTAAAGTACATGTATATCCAACATTTTTATTTTGTTATACTGATAATATGTTAGGAATTGCTACACGTTTACACTCTAGTATGAAAATTTATTGAATATAAAACATCACAGAAAGGTTAGCACGATGACGTATACACTACTCCTAAGTTGACCCCCAAAAGATTCAAAATTTTCTGCCATATGCTTTCTCTTTTTAAGAGTACATATATACATTTGATCATTTTTGTTTAATATGTATTTCATTGATCAGTCTGACTAAAACCAGCCCCTGCTATTTCACTTCTAACAAAGTGAAATATAAGGGACTGACATTAGTCAGACTGTTTTATTGATACTATTAGACTTATATGTTAAAAAAAAGACACCGGACTAGAAAAACTTAACATGTACTGACAACGGACGTTTGCTTATAAATTGCGATTTCTTAAAGCCTGTTATCAAGAATAGGCTGTCAGTTGCCTAACACGTGTAAAATTAAGTTTTTCTTCATATTTTAGAATAAAAGGACTATTTTCATAAATTTTACACAAGAACTATTTAATTTTCAAGCTGACGATCATGACTTCACACATGGGCATATTGCCAACCAAAACTTCTCAAAATGCATTGTAGATATCAAATACATTAATCTTTGTATGGAATACTGTATGTTGTATCTGCTCCCCAAAATTTAAATTTAATCTAGAAATTGGCCAAAAACGTCATATTTTAGGCATTATGTATAATTTTTTTTTATGTTTCAAATGACAACGGACGGATATTATCATAACCTTACCTGTATTTTCACGACAACGAGCCATTTTCAGTGCTTAACTTTAAAGGTTACGTGTTCCTGGCCATGATGATTTTACGGGCCTCTTTAAATAAGTGAAAACTAAAAAAACAAGTTTAGAACCATTGCTTCTCTTCAACAAAATAAAATGAATTCTTTGATTCAACTTTTTTTTATTATTGATATTTTTTTCGGTTTTAAAGAGTGCACACATATGTGTTGTCATTTATTAAGCAATTTGGCACATTTAATGTGTGTTTTATGTCAGATCTATATCTGATATAATTGTTAAAAATATTTTCCTTTGTCAGAATTCTACAAAATGTTTTGATGATTAAATGTTTAGTATCTTAACAAAATGTCTTTCCATGCAAATCTAACACTTTCAGATATCATGTGACACACAGCATCGATCTTTCCCCACAAATATCAGTCGACCAGTTTGACTGTTTTATTTTAACTCTCTACTTTCTCTTTAAGATTGTTGAATCCATCTGAAAAGTAAACAGCGTTTTGGATATTTTTTTTCACGAATGAAAATCATATCTTAAGTATGCGTTGTTATGCGATTTAATTAAAAGCACACTTTTCACATACGCTTTCATTCTCATTTTCTTGGCAGAGATAAATTATTAACATTTAGCTCAGTGTTTTTATTTTTTAGCAAGGACAATAGAAAAATTAAGGGTTTTTCCCTATGTTCATTCGCTCTTTTAATATAACTTTTCATCTGTGAAAAAAATTAAATGCCTCCACCTATATTATGATACTGGTGCACTGTATATTGCATTACTTTTTGAACGACCCTCGTATATGAAAGGGTTTCTTCCTGTTTACTATTGGATGCTCCTATTGGGTAATATAGGATTATCTATTTTTAGACATGATGGGGCTTTCCTTTTGTGCGTAGCACAAATCAAGATTATTTGAACCGAAGTGATGACTGTTTATTTTGTTTTGCTAGCAAATAAATGACAAGTAAAAAGATTTCCTTTTAAGATTCCTATTCTTCGACTGTTCAGGTAAGTAGATATAAAACTTTAAATGATTTGTATATGATTTATTGTCATTGTGGACAAATTAGGTCAGCAAATTTCATTAGATATATTCAAGAACAATATTTGATCAAATTGATAATTACCATTTTGGTATACCTGTAATTTCCGTGTCGTTTGATAAACACCTGAAATGTAACAAACAAACATTTGTTGCACAAGTATCTTTGTTTTGTATGTATAAGTTGTTTGATTTGGGATATAATTTAAAGGGGTGGTTGACAGTCCCAATAACACAATATATAATGACATGTAAATGTTCATGATCTGAAGATGCTTATGGTGCTATAACTAACTGATCATCCTTTCCCTTTCTCTACAATATTTTTTTAATGAAGCCACTGTAACACAAACAGCAGACAGAGGAAAAAAATAGGATTGCATGTTTTATTCTAAGTTCACAGTTTGACTTTACTTCAAATTCTTCTTTGTTAAAATATATTTATATCTAGGATTCAAACACACAAAACATTGCATATTTTTAGCATTATCTTATTTTCTTTATTCTACTGAAAGTTTGCCATTGCTAATTCAGCAAATTGTAATCTTTGAGGGTGAGTTGCACCTATAGCAATCATGAGTAGTGGATCCAGGTATGGACTTATGTCACTGACCGAAATTCGATGTGGTAAGTTACACATGTTTAACAGGACATTGTATCGTGTGTATCTAGGATATATTTAATAATAAAATATATTAGAGATCCCCTTTGATGTATTATCTTTATTTCCCATTTATATTTTAAATGTGTTCTTGTTTAAAAGTCCCAATTAAGGAAGTAATTGAAATTTCCTGTACTATGCTGTTATTTCTTATGTATCCCATGTTACCTCATTTATTCCGTGGACATCACTCATTGGATATTTTTTGTTATCATATGATAATGATTTAATTTTCAATACCTTCAACATGTTCAACATTGTAGAAAAATACTACATTATATTCACCTGCACGTGACGTAAAAGGCGTTAATAAGAATTTATTTTCTTTACATCAATCTAAATATATATAGATCGGGAAAGTTCAAATAAATACAAATAGTATTCAAAAGGTATTTCCCTTGTTACCGATATCCCTAAACACTTCATTCCAGAACGTTATTTTTCTTTTGATTTCGAAAAAAAATAACCACCCATCGACCTTAATAAACCAAGTTATTCGAAAACAAAATGTATTGTCCTTTTGAGGGCTAGATTACAAGACTGACCATGGGTTTCCGACGGAGCTAGTCAGATTTTTTTTTGCTTTCATTTTTCCCTAATAATGCCCCACCTACAAAATTGATCCTATAAAAGGACCTGGCATTATTCTTTTTTGTTTTATAGCAACTAAAATAGATTAAAAAATTCCAAATTAATACGACTGGTTGTTTAATCGTGTTTCTCTCATAGCGTATGGTAAGGACCCCAGTAAATGTAAACAAGTACATGTAGATGGCATGAACTGCTCAATGAGTTTGTATCATTCAATATTATTGATTGATTGTATATATTGTTTAATGTCACTCTCGATAATTTTTCACTCGTATGGAGACGCCGAAACTTGTCGATGGAGAGCTTCGATTTTTGTCCTATACTCTTCACTTAGGGTCATTGAGCAGTGAGGGGTCTTTTTCATGCCAACACCTACTGTGACAAAGGACCTCCTCGGCTTATACATATTCAATTATTGAATCGTATAATAAAACATATACTAGTATTGTTGTTTTTAGTCAATACGATGGTTTAGTCGGTACATATACAATATACACTTCGCCATTCGGGTTCGGTGTATACTGTACTCATCAGTTAGCTAATTCATAGTATATTTTGACCTCAAAAACAGGAATACATGTAATAATATGATATCCCACAATTGTGACGTCACATTTGGTTTTGCATGAGAGTTTTTAAGTCAAATAAAATTGATTCCTACATACATGTAAAACAGTGTAAAACTTTGATAATGATGTCAACAAAACATGGAATAGAAGGAACCCTTGATGATTATATACGTTGAAGTTGCATATGATTTTTATAAGAAGCGTTATGTTTTTTTTATCCTTGATCGAGTCTTACACAAAAATAATAATCAACCACAATAGCATGCGATATCCTATGATAATTTATTTGTTCTTTTTCTAATTGAAAAATCAATTTTTTACAGTCCCGTTAAAGAAAATCAACATCCAGGTGGCGATCCATGGATTCATCGCCAACGTGACCTCTGACCTCCATTATGTTAACGACTTGGACAAGAACATAGAGACAGAGTTTGTCTTTCCATTGGACTCCGATGCAGCGGTCTACAAGTTTGAAGCCGAGATAGACGGTAGAACAATTGTAGCAGAAGTCCAGGAGAAATCACAGGTTGACATGCATACGAGGGCTGTTCAATAAATAATGTCCTCGGTGCTCAGAAAGAAGCAAATGACGCTTTTCAATGATTTAGTCTTCATGATTTTACTTATTAATCTCTTTTAATTCAAACACATTTCTGTAACATTTTTTTTCAATTTCTGATTGTTTTTAGAACTCATTTTTTGGTATGACCCTTAGTATACTGGAAAATGACAGATCCAATGATTTCGTGGACTTGTTTTTTCCTTCAAAAAGGTGTTTTTTTCAAGTTTGGAAATAGAAACAAGTCAAAAGGTCAAAGATCTGGCAAATATTGTTAATTGAACATTAACTTTTTTTGAAAACCCCTTTACTTTCAGGCATGGATTTCATGAAGAAATTCAATGTTGTAAATTCCTGATTCTGGGTCCTTCCTCTAATTAACCTTTCAATCTTTTTGCAATACAATTGCTCCTCCAGATATTAAACTGTTGAATACGAATAACAACAATACTATTATTTAAGAAAATTGCAATAAAACATATTTTTGCACCTTCGTTGATTTTATCAAGTACATCTTATGGTAAAATTTGTTTTTATCATTTTAAGCAATAGATTCATGTTCCAATATCTGTTTGAATATAAAACAAACGCGGAAAACTACAATTACTGATATTTTTAAATAATTGTTAAGAATTTCGTACACGCTGTCTTTTTCACTCATTTTTTAAAACAAATAGGGTGACCTTTGAGTACCAAGCTTTTTTACTGTCAAACGATTCTTAAAAACAGTCTTAACTACTCCCGATATGATGTCTACCAAATTTGTTATGTATCTTAAAGTCAATCATACATCATCAAATATTATTTGTTGAAATTTGACAAACAATACATAAGTTATTATAATTTTTGTTGGCAAGGAGGGTACCCATTTTTGATGTCCATTTTATATTTTTTTATCATTGAAATCCACCTGCTCATTTATCTATAAAACAGGCATCGATTGCTGTAAATAACACATAATTCAGTGAATATTTCTTTGGGATTTTTAACAAGTTTTACAGCAGCTTTAATGTAGCCTTTATTTTCACTCTAGTTTACTGATTTTTTACCATTCATTTATAATGCAGTGTCTCGAAAAGCCCTTGTTTCCCAGCTTCTCACGATGAAACTATGTGATGAAAAGTGGTCACATAAACTGTTATAAATTCAATAAAGATTCAATAATGAGAGAAAGTCAAGTTTAATGTCATGTGATATCTGTATTGTATGTCATACAGTTCAGGACATTATTTATTGAACAGCCCTCGAATTCATATAATAGCATACGTTTATCGGAAATATGAAGATCCATTCAACCAAGATAAATCATATTCCCCGTGAGCTTCACATTTTCCCAAACATTCATTTGGTTTCTCTAGAACAAAACAGATAACGCGTTGTATAGAATGATTATAATGAGGTGTAATAAAATTAATATAATTTTTTTTGTTAAAGGCAAAAGAGACGTATAAAGATGCCGTTGCTTCTGGCCAGACTGCCATGTACATGGGAGAAGATGACAACGCTGGAGATATATTTCGCCTCAAACTCGGAAATCTCCCAGCCAGGAAAGCAGCCAAACTCACATTTGCTTACGCAATGGAGCTGGATTTGTCATCTGATAAAACAGGAACATTTATGCTGCCAACAGTTCTAAATCCAAGATACGTTCCTGACTGTTGTAAGTCTGAAAAAATAATATTTTTTCTCTGTAGGTTGCATCTATATATCTAACTAAAAGGGTAAAATGGAAATTGATTTGAAAATTATAAAAGGGAAATAGGAAAGGTGGAGATTACAAACAGTGATGGATGTATATTAGGCTACCACATTCAAATGAACATCCATTTAGCTTAAGCAGTGTTTTATGACTATAACATTACTCTTAATTCCTGGGTTTCCTCAAAAACTTTGATTTTCAAAAAGGAATGCGATAGAATAAATCAAACCATGCCACTTTAAAAATTGCAATGGGATAAACCTCTTTGAATACTCTTCCTTTTGAAGCATCAAAAGATGAACCTAACTCTGAGGAGACTGACACAACAATGACAACATGTAAAACAACAGAAAGTGATATTGGAATGATATACTGCTCAGACTTTACAATGAATTTGGAAGCTGTAGTTGATGGAGGTAGAAACCTTATGGTTTCCGAAAACAAGATGGAGTTTGATGTGGTGGCAGATACAATCGATAATAAGGTATAGACTTACTATAACATTTCCTTTTAACTCTTTTTTTTATATAAGGCATATGCATACTGACGGTTCTTTAGTTTTTTATTCATGTAAAAATTTTGTTATGCCATTGAAATTCATTGTAAATGGTAAATTAATTTTTTCTGTGACAATTGAAATTGTCTTATGCAAAAAATGAACTTTTACTCTCCTTTTCGTTTTGTTTTCTCTGATTCAAAGTTAATGTTTCCGTAAAGTATATGATCATTAAAAAATAACATTGAAGATATTATTATTAATAAAAGTTTTTATGATTTAAATCATTCGCGCACCTTGGCGTCGTTGTCGGTGTCAAATTCAGAGGTTCATGGAGATGCTCATAGTATGGAGCAGTTAAGCGTTGCTATATAAACCTTAGCAGGTTAAAATTTCGTTGTCGGTGTCCAAGCAAGGATGATAAGGATTTTTGCTGTGCAGATTTCCATTTCAATCAGAGGCTCATGGAATATGCTCATATAGTATGTTATTTGTACCTGTGCCAGTTAAGTTTTTATGTGCTGCAATTTTAGCTAATGTATAACGATTTCTTTGAACAGGTTAAAATTTTAATGTTAGGTTAATATATTTTAGTAAGTCTCATTTCCAAGCAATTTAAAGCCCTATATTGAGCAATAATCGGGTCAAGTAAGCTCTATATGATGAAATTGCATAAATGTTGCAGAAAGTATGGGAATTTACCATACTAAAAGACACCATTCATCGAGTTGAGATGAGCTGTGTAATCTATGATATCATATGTTTTTTTTTACCAACAAAATATATGCTTTTTAAAAGTTTTTTGAGATAAATTTAAGACTTTTCATGATTTTAATCATTTTGACCTACAGTTGACATCATCCAAACAGCTCAAACATGGATCTGATTTCACTTTGATTTTACACTACAAAGGATTTGAAAAGCCAGGAGCAGTGCTAGAGAAAGGAAAGGAAGGTAGCGAAAGTAAGAAAATGTAAATTTTTATACACCAGTTTTATTGACCAATCTCTTTTCTAAATTCAAAGACCAAGTTTTATGCGATTAATAAATTGTTTTTTCCTAAATTGTTCCTTGTTTCTTACAGAACCATTTTTATCGACGGATGTGCTGATGATTAATTTTTCCCCAGAATTCAAAGACTTAGACACAAACGTGCCGTGTGAATTTGTTTTTATAATCGACCGTTCTGGTAAGACGTAACTTCAAGTTTGTTTTTAAATAAAAAAATATTTCGAATCATCTATTACACATGTGTATTGATTGATGATTGATTGATTGTTTGTTGCTTTACATCCCATTTGAAAATTTTTCACTTATGTAGAGACGTCACCATAAACCGGTGAAGGGCTTCAAATTTTGACCTTTACTCGGTACCCAGGGTCATTAAGCAGTGAGGGATCTTTATCGTGCCAACGCCTGTCGGGGCACGCGACAAGCAACTTTCACTTCAAGTTCCCAGCGCATGGCGAAGGAACACTTGCTACCCATTTCTTATCGACTTAGGTCAGTCGTGGCCGAGATTCAAAATCGCGACTTCCCGATCACAGGGCGAGCACTCTGAGCTACCGTGAATGGTCACATGTTTATTGTGTATCATCATTTACACATGTGTATTGTTCATCATCGTTTACACACACATAATGTGAACCATCGATTAATATATGTATATATTCGGTATCAGTGTCGAAACATGTGTACACATGAATTGTGAATAATCGTTTACACATATATACAGATATAAGATTATATACTTTAAAATCTCCATAACAAGTAATCCTTTAAAAGTATAATTAGTGTCAGCATACGGCTATTGATCTTTTTCGGTTCAGCACCTCTGCGACACACTGTATGCTCCTTGTCATAATCGGGAAGTAACGGAAAAAAATCCATCGACAATTCAGTGTGTAAATAATGGACTTATGATAAGTATTAAAACGTCAGTCAGCATTTGACTTTATGATAAATTGTATTTGCTGACAGGTCCACTATATCGACCATAGAATTACGAAATAGTGACTTTAAACTAGACTGCTGATTTTCTTGTTTTAACAACTTGTTTGTCAATAACTTACCTCGATTTAAAAATTGTTCATATATAGAGCATACTCTTGTGTATCGAATCAACTGAGAGAGATAAACCCCGTATGCAGGTGATGAAGGTATATTACTGCATAGGTAAGGGAGGTTGACAATTTAAAAAGTTAAAGCCATCTCATTTGCCATAAAGCTTGGTTGTTAGATTACCATTAACGTCCTTTCCAAGTAAATTATCTTAATATGAAACAGATGTGTCAGACTCTGATATGAATTCAGAAAGAGTTTCAACTTACATGTAATACATATAATAAATGAAATTTTGAACAGGGTCAATGAGAAGATCTCGAATTACGAAAGCCAAGGAGACTTTACTGTTGCTTTTGAAGAGTCTTCCTGTACAATGTATCTTCAATGTTGTCAGTTTTGGATCAAGTTTTTCTACTTTGTTCCCAAAGTAAGTTTTAATCATTCTGATAATGACACAGTAGATCTGAGTTCAAATACAATTCTCATTACACAACTACAATTGTACCATTAAGAAAAACATAATTTCAGTACGTAATATAGTACAATAATTTGAAACTTATTGATCTACTTAAATAAACTTTTTCCCGAAATTAATCTCCCCAAAGTATGAAACTGGAAATGAACAAGTTCGCTTATATTGAAGGAGCATAGAGTATAATGAGCAAAACCTAGAAGAAGCTCTGAATCTACAAAAGACGATGGAAGCTGATATGGGAGGAACAGAGATCTTCAAGCCACTAGAATATGTCTTCAGTAAAAAATATTCGTGTTCCTATGCTAGACAGGTGACACATTTTAATTCTCCGGAACTGAAAGCTCAGGCGAACTTTTCTGATCATGCACCTGCTGTCTGTTGTCCATCTGTCCGACTGTTAAATTTCACATTTTTATGTTTCTTGAGAACCGCTGAGCCAATTTTAACTAACGTTGGTTCAGAGCAACCTTGGAAGTTTAATTGTCATAGAAAGGACAAAGCCCCCCTTTTTACAAGGAGATAGAGATAATCAGGAGACGACAAAAAAGTGGGATCATAAAAAATTCTATTCAAGAACAACTGGGTCAGAAACAGCTGAAACTTACGTGAAAGAATCCTTAGGTAGTGTAAATTTTTTAATTTTTCATATCATGCACCCTTGGAATAGGGCGGGGCCACAAAAGGAAATCAATATTTCCATAGAAAAATATTTAAACATTTTCTAAAAAATCTTATTCTTAAGAACCACTGGACAAGAAAAGCTGAAATTTATGTGGAAGTATCCTTTGGTAGTGTAAATTGTTCAAATCATTACCCTGTGGGTAACGGCGGTACCGCAATACGCATAACAAGTGGGAAAATTTTGTGAAGAAACCCGGGTCAAAGTTATGGCAAATATAAGACCCTTTTTCTGTCATTATTAGTTTTCTAAAAAATAAACAGAATTATGCAAAATAATTTAATTTGATAAATGTTAATCTTGATATGAGCAAATAAGCAGTAAAACAGGGGAAGCTTTGTTTATGAACTAATAAGATGACTTATGCATGTGAAGAGTCAGATAATTTTTTTGTTAGGCCTAGACCAATTTCTATTTGATGCATGTGCATCATATAAATCAACAAATTGCGACCATGTAACTCAATCAATATTAAACTCGAATAATTGATACATTAAAATGACATGTCAAATTATATATTTTTTATATGACTATTTTAACAATGATTTGATTTGTTTTCAATGATTTAAGCTTGCTCATCAAATTGCACAATAAAACGGTTAAAGTGTAACATTTGGGATTTTCAGGTTTTTCTACTGACGGATGGACAAGTTTCGAACATCCCAGAAATAGTCAAATTAGTGAAAAAGCAGAAAAATACTAGGTTTCATATATATTTTTATACTTTTCTACTTATCAGTTGATTATTTTTAATAAAATGTAATGTTTAAATTGCTATAACATATCTTTTATTATTTTCCTTTCTAATTTTAAAATATTAAGGGAAGATGACCATGAAAGAAAAATTTTCTTTAGAGTTTTAAAAATACATTTTAATTTTATACTGACACGCAAAAGAAACACAACAAGCAGTAATCTACAAATGATTGATTTTTAGCTCACCTGAGCTTTTCTGATTACATTCTGACTATCGTCCGTCTATCCGTCCGTCCGTCCGTCTGTTAACTTTTCACTTTTATGAGTTTTTCTCAAGAACCACTAGGCCAATTTAAACCAAACTTGGTACAAAGCAAAGGGGAGATAATTAAGAAATTACAAAAATAGGGTGGGTTTATAAAAAAATCTTCTCTCAAGAACCACTGGGCCAGAAAAGAAGAAACTTATGTGGAAATATCCTGAAGTATTGCAGATTTTAAATTATTAAAATCATGAACCCCGGGGGTTGGGCGGGGCCACAATAGGGAACCCAAGTTTTACATAGAAATATATAGGAACAAACTTTAAAAATCTTCTTCTCAAGAACCAGTGGGTCATAAAATCTAAAGCATCCTGGAGTAGTGTAGATTCTAATTTTTAAAATCCTGAACCCCGGTGGTTAGTTAAGACCACAATAGAGAATCCAAGTTTTCTATAGAAATATATAGGAAAAATCTTCTCAGGAACTATTCGGCCAGGAAAGTTGAAACTTAGGTGGAAGCATCCTGAAAGGGGTAGTGTATACGTAGATTCTAAATTGTTAAAATCCTGACCCCCGGGGGTTGGGTTGGGCGCCAATAGGGAATCCAAGTTTAATCATAGAAATATTTAGGAACAAACTTTAAAAATCTTCTTCTCATGAACCACTGGGTCATAAAAGCTGAAACTTATGTGAAAGCATCCTTGGGTAGTGTAAATTTGAAATTGTTAAAATCATGACCCCCGGGTTTTGGGTAGGGCCACAATAGGGATTCAAGTTTTACATAAAAATATATAGGAACAATCTTCAAAAATCTACTACTTAAAAATTAGTGGGCCAGACAAGCTAAAATCTTATGTGGAAGCATCCTGAAAGGGGTAGTGTTAATTGTTAATTGTTAAAAGAACCACTGGGTCATAAAAGCTGAAACTTATGTGAAAGCCTCCTTGGGTAGTGTAGATTCTAAATTCTTAAAA